CAGATGGTTATTAAGGCTCCTTCTCAGCTCCATTTACTTACCACCTTTAGTTACTTACTGTAAATAAAACATTACAAACAATTCTTGTTTGTTCCACTTTAATGTCCCAGCTGCATTTGTCTGGGGCAGAGTCCTGGGATTTGCTTCCTGACTTGGTTGTGCCCCCCCCCCCACCCCCACAACCCTCTCAGGGAATATCACGCCTCTAGGAGGAGAGTTTGGGGTTTACTGGGATGTGTCACTCTCCAGCCTGTGCTCTGTCTCTGTCCTGTACACCCCCATGTCAATCAGGAATTGCTCAGCTGTGCTCTGCGGAGAGGTGACTGGTTACACAGGGTGCGATCCATGAAGGGACGTAGGTGTTGCAATGCTGAGCATCACAGGGCCTAATTTGTAGGTAACCAGAAAATCACATTCTGCAAAACTGAGTCAGGTGCCTAAACTCCCTAGACAATGGATGGGCATCAGCGTCACCTTACAGTGTGATTCACAAAAGCCAGCTCACTAGGCGGGGAGCCATCTAAACTAGACAAGGGGAGATGCTGACAATGGGGGAGGGGTGTCCTAAGCCCTGCCCCCCTCACAGACCGGTGCCTAAATCAGGGCTGCAGAGGGGCGTCTGTCTCTGCTTAGCCACCCACAGACGGGAACCCAGCGCCTGACATTCAGTGGCTCAGGCTTCTAAGGCGTTTCTTGCTGGAATGAGGTAGGCACCTGCCTTGCTCCACACAAAATGTGAGTGGGGGTGGGGAGAAGGTGGAGGTGGTTTTTGTGCTGTCACCTGCCTTATAACTTTTACCCCCACGGCTAGAGCACTCTGCTGGCACATGGGAGATGCAGGTTCAACTCCACTGTCTAGAGTAGCTCACGAATGTGAGTACCAAGCTCAGGGCAAACAGTTACAAACCAGGGTACAAACCCCAGGCTAGGTATCAAATGTGCATCTCTCAAGCACCATAACAGCCTGAATATGGAGTTACAGACAGTCCCCTTGGGTTCTCCGGTCTATCTTGCTGCTTTTCTGCCTCCTCCCCTCCTGCATCTCCCTGCTCCCCCTGCTGGAGCTGCCACATTCCCAGCAGCAGAGTCTGCGTAGCTCCTGGCCACAGGTGTCTCTTGTTAGAGCCACCAGCTGCTCTATGCTGGCCACCAGAAAATGGTGCAAGATGTGGAACAGAAGACAGCCTCTCCCCAGCTCAGGAAGAACCAATAATAGAAACCTTCCCACCCCAAGGCAAAGGGAGCAGGAGGTGGCAGCACTGGAGGGATAGACTCTTGTCCAGAAACAGGAAGAAGCATCCAGGAAAGAGCCCCCCGCAGCCCAAGGCAAAGGGATGTGACAGCCCTGAGGGGAAGATCTCGCCATTCATGTCTCTGAAATTAATATTTCAGACATGTAGAAATATTCACTGCCACCCACCTGGTCAGAGTTAAGGGTGTTTGGATGCTGGGCACTGAGAAGGTTTCTGTTTATGGGTGTGTGTGGGTGGGTATCCCAGACTTGGTTAGGTGCCACCGGACTACAGTAAGGGGAACCCAAGCATCTGAGCCCCAGTATCCCCAGATAATTCAAACCTCTGGGACCAGAACAGAGCAAATGCTGAGCAGAGGGGAATTGTATAGGGCATGGGTGGCCAACCTGAGCGTCAGAAGGAGCAAGAATTTACCAATGTACAATATACATTGCCAAAGAGCCTCTGTAATATGTCAACAGCCCCCCATCAGCTCTCCCCACTCCAGCCCCCAGTGCCTCCTGCCCGCAGGCAGCCCCACCAATCAGTGCCTCCCCCTTTTCCCCATGCCTCCCACCTACTGCAATCAGCTCTTTCATGTGCACTGGAGTCTGGGGGGAGGCAAGCTGGGGGGGGCGGGAATGGGAATTTTGGGAAAGGGGTGGAATGGGGGCAGACCCTGGGGCAGAGTCTGGGGTTCAGCAGTGGCCCCCCTCCTCTGGCACATTGGAAAGTTGGCGTCTGTAGTTCCAGCCCTGGAGTCAGCGCCTATGCAAGGAGCCATATATTAACCTCTGAAGAGCCGCATGTGGCTCCGGAGCCACAGGTTGGCCACCTCTGGCATAGGGAGTCTAAGCCCCTCACTCAGCTTTGTGGATTGCAGGGCAGTTCCTGTGACTCCCTACTGCCCACTGTCTCTTGATAAATGTCCCTGATGTCAGGGCCAGCCTTAGGGGTGGATGGATGAGCAACCACCAAGGGGTCGTTCTACGGGGGGGGGGAAATCCCTCCTCCCGCTGCTGCTCTGCTCCCGTCTGCAGCCACCACTGCTCCTGCTCCCCTCCCCCGCACCATGGAGCTGCCCCTGGCCACCCTGGTACTGGGAACCTCCTGTCTACTGTGCAGAGCTGGGAGTAGACTGATGTTCGGGGTGTCCCCCTCCCCCACCCCCACCCACCCATCTACCCTGTCTC